GGTCCTGCCAGAGGTGGGGATCACCATCCCAGCCATGCCCAGACAGATTTTTGGGATGCTGCAGATGCAGAGAGCAGCTGTGCCCTGGGAATGCAGGCAGCAAATGCCTGAACCTGCCATGAGGTCCCTTTTTCTGCCCACCAAAGGGACCCTGAGGTCCCTTTTTCTGCCCTCCTTCAGCGAGGAGGCCCCGAGCAGAGGCAGCACCAGCCTGGGCTCAGTGGGGAACGTGGATCGGGCAGGGCCGGGGGAGGAAATGGGAGCAGAAAGGAGCAAGGAGCTGCTGCCAGCACTGACTCTGCTCCTGCTCTGCTCCTGCTCTGCTCCTGCTCCTGCTCCTGCTCCTGCTCCTGCTCCTGCTCCGCCCGCTGCCGAGCCTGGGCTGGGTTATTTTGGAGCTGCGTGGGAGATGCTGGTAACACACTTTTCTTCTTCCCTGCAAACTCCTCTCTGCTGACTCTGCGCTGCAGCAGGGAATTCAAAGTGGGAACAGGCAACAGGGAACACTGCAACCTTCCTCTGAGCCTCCTGCTTGGGGTCTCATGGCTACAAAAGCACTCAGGGCTCTCACATGCTCTGCTTGCAAACTGGGCAAATTTATTTTTTTTTTTTTTTTTTTTTTTTAAAGCTGGGAAGCATTCCCTGGTAATGGATTATTTTGTCCCACAGAATGCCCTGTATCTCTCGTGTCCTGCTCCTGGCACTTGCATAAGTTTACAAGAGCCTCCTGTCCCAGCAGAGCCCCTGGGGACCAGGCAGGGCACTGGGTCCAAGACAAAGAGCATCATCCCCACCACAGAGGTTAATCACTGCTACACAAAAGGTCTTTTAAGCTTTCCTAATAACATTTCTTCTCCTGCTGGATGAACCAGCTCCAGCCTCCACCCCACCTCCGCAGGGTCCTTGGGGGAGACAGAGGAAGGAGCAGGTTTTCGCTTGAGTTTCTGGTAATGTAAAAAGCACACCAGAAAATGAGCTGGGGCGGGAAGAGAGGGCTGAATTCCCAGTGCAGGCCTGTGTCAGTGTGCACTCATCCACTTCCTTCCTTCATTTGCGGTGTCCAACATCCAAACTGCTGGAAACAAGGAGCTTCAAGCACTTCCATCCCTTTTTGCTCTCTGGATGCAATTAAATTAAGCTAAGGGGATAAACCAGCTGATAGAGCTGAGCAAGCGACATGAGCAGTGCTGTGACTGATCCTGATGTGCAGGAAACACAGGGGCATGGCTGAGCCCCCATCATACCCCACCACTGTCCCTTGCCTCCTGAACCACCCCCTGGGGCAGCATCCCAAGGGAAAACACCCCCGGAGCACGATGTGCCTCCCTCAGCCCCTCTCTGAGGGCTGCTCTTTGTTTCCCCTGGTGCTGCTCCTTTTTTTTTAAATACAGCCTAATACAATTTTAATGAGGCCAGAACGCCTGCCAACTGTCGGGAGGGCCATCAGAGAAGCTCTGCCGAGCTGGCTGGTGGCATATGGCACTGAGGCTGGGCACCCTGGGGTGTCCCTGTGGCCCCCAGCAGCAGCAAGGGACAATCGGGGAGCTGGGGAAGTGCAGCCTCCAGCCAGGATTTTGCACCTGGGATTTGTCCCCAGCCCTGGTCCAGTGGTCTCTGATCCCTTTGCCCCACTGGAGGACAGCTCGATGGCTGCACAAGGTCACCTCATCCTGCCTCATTGTCACAAACTCTGTCCCACGTGGGATGGAGGTGGCTGGAGAGGTGGGGACCACCAGCACTGCTCCCCAATCTCTGCTGAGCCCCTCTGTGAGTGGACATCTGCATTGTGGGGGGGTTCCCAGGCCAGCCTTGGCCATCCCACAGCCACTGCCACCACGAGTGGGACACCAGCACCCCCAGGATGGGCTCGTGGGTGTCCCATGTCCCAGGGAAGGCATGTGGCTGGTGCCCGCTGTGCTGGGGGTGAAAACCAACCAGCAGCCCCCTCTCAGCGAGCCCCCAAATTTACTCCATCAAAGAAGAGCAAGGAGGGCTCAGGCCAGGCTGGAATCCTTGAATCCAGGGGACAGACGTGCTCCAAGGGAGGGACCCGGTGACACCAGCTTTGGACACCCAGTGACACAACAGTGCCCAAGGGTCTGTGTGCTCTGGAGGGCAGGACAGGGCTGGCCACAGCTCAAACCACCCCCAGCTGCTGTGCCTGGGGCTGGAGCTGCTGCCTCCACACTGCCCCTTTGTCCCTCTCTGCCCTCCTGGGGACATGGGGCTGGAACAACCCACTGCACCCTCAGACCCTTCACCAGACGCTGCTGTACACTGCATTTGCTGTCTCTGTGCCCTCTGAGCCCCGTGCCTGTCCCTGGCACTGTGCATCCCACCCTCCCTCTGTGCCCAGCTCTGCCTTCCCAGCATCACAAACCCGAATGAAAATCCCAGCCTGGCTCTCAAAGGAAGCTGGGCTGCCACAAAAAGGGTCCAGGCAAGCACAAAAACCAAAGGGCATTTCTGTGCCTGGGGCAGGCAGGCCAGGGGTCACTCCATGACCAGGGCTCCTTTTCTCCTGCCTTTTCCCTTTGGAGCTGGGATCTCTTTGAAGTCCCAGAGCCCCTCCAGGGGACTCACCCAGGATCGCCCCGGTCATGGATGTGTGTGCCAGGAGCGGGTGTCCTGCAGGAGCGGCGCTGGCAGGGCTGGGGGAGGACCTCAGAAGGGTTTGGTCATGGTGGCTTGTGGAGCTGACGAGAAATGAGGTGTACAGAGGGAAACCCAGCGCCTTTCCTGGCACACGGAGATGTCTGCGGGACATGAGCTGTGGCTGCTACACCCCAAGGCTGGGGGGGAACTGGGCACCCTTTGGTGACCCCACAGTGACATGTGGGGACGTTTCAGGCTGTGTCTGGGGAGCAGAGGGGGCAGGCAGGCTGGGTGCAGGCAGGATGGATGCCCACTCTGGAGGGACAGGATCTGCTGAGCCAGGCAGTGCCACCATCCACCAGTGTCACCCATCCATGCCCCAGTGCTGGATGGTGGGGAGAAAACAGGGTGGGTTTTTCTTTCTCTGCATAATTGCCTTTTTTTTTTTCCCTTTTTTTTTTTCTTTTTTTTTTTTGAGGAGGAGAAAAGCTGTTTTTTCCCTGGCCTCATCACCATCTGCCCGTGGTGGCCGGGGAAGGCAGAGCCCAGAGCTGTGGGTCTGGGCAGCTGCTCAGCCTCATGGCCAGCTCTTGATGCAGGAGGGCTTTGAGCCAGAGCAGCAAAGGGATTTGCTGGGCAAACATGGATCTGCCTGACTGCAGCTCGGGGGGACCCGTTTCCAGCCCAGACAGGAGGCTGTGGGCTTGGCTCTGGTTGGCAATGGTCTGTCTGGGCTTGCAGGGCTGGGCAGCGAGGATGAGCACAGAGCAGCTCTGGCCAAGGCTTCCAGGAAAACAAACCCCATCCCAGGCTGGCAGATTTGCCCTGGGCAGTTGTGCCAGTGACCCCCGGGCAAGGGCGGGCGGTGCTGGCCCGGGGTGGAGTAGTGCCTCTAACCAGTACAGCCAGTGCAGAACCAGTGGAGCCTGAAGGGAGATGGGGTGGGATGCCATCCTGCCCGGCATGGATGAGCCTGGGGGAATTCTTTGTGCCAGCCCTGAGCACACACTGTTGTGCCCTCTCACCACGCACTCATCTCTTCACTTGTCCTGCTTCATGTGGCTCAGGCAGTTCAGATGCCTGATCCAGCTGAAAACCACCCCATCTGTCCTTCCCATCTTGCCTCTTTCTCCAGTTTTCTGGTTCTGCACATCCCTCCAGCCAGCTCCCCTATGTGAGTGCAGGGCTGTGCCTGAGCCAGCTTCAAATCACCCCTGCAGCTGTGCTCCCACTTACTGCTTTGTGTCCCTGTTATAGACACAAGAAACATCCCTGTCCCTCAGGTGCAGCATCCTTGGGCAGCACAGACAACCCTTCCCAGGCTGGATTCTTCCCATCTCCAGGTCAGCCCTGCTGGAAGTGCCACCAGACCATTACATACACAGCAACACTGCCTGCCCACCCCCTGAGAAATGACCTCCAAAGTCTCCCCTGTGCAGGAGTGCCCCTGTTTTCCTTCTGGATTTGCTGTGGGAGTTCAGTTCCCCGGGGCCAGGGTGCTCCAGGCTCGCTGGTGCCTGGCACAGGGTGCTGGGATGGCTCAGAGATGGCAGGAGGCCACAGCATCCGTCACTGCTCCCCAGCTGCCCCACAGCCTTGTGACGTGGCCAGCAGCCCGGGAGGGACAGAGGGCTGCAGGAGGGACCCACAATGTCTCACAGTGGGATGGGGATGTGTGATCAAAGGGATTTTGCAGTGCAGGAGAGAGACTTGCAGTTCACCTTGGTGTAGTGCAGTGCGAGGGGTGTTCTCATAGTGGGGAGGGTCCTGCAGTGCTTAGGGGGTCTTGCAATGTGTAGGACCCCGTAATTCAAGGAGGGATCTTGTTTTACAATGCTGTGTGTGTTTGGGGTCCTTCAGTTTGATGGGCCCCTTCCTGGAGGGGCCTTTCCATTATGAATTTGCACTGGAGGAGGAGTCCTGCAATTCATGGATGCTCCTGAAATGAAGGGAAAGGTCTTGGGGTCCTCCAGTTTATGGGGAGGTCTTACATTGCTGTTCTTGGATCGGTCTTGCCATGAACTGAGGACTCGCATTGTGCGGGGCTCCTGAAATGCAGGGATGGCTCCTGCCATGCAGGGGGGGTGTCCCACAACTCGAGGAGGCTCCTGAAATGCACGGAAAGATCCCGTTAACCACCGGGGGTCCTCCAGCGTGGGAGGATCCCGCAATCCATGGGGGCTTTTGCCGCGCAGGGAAGGCTCTGTGCGTGCGGGGGTCCCGCGGGAGGGAGGCGGGGACGCTGCCCTGCGGCTCCCGGGGGCTCCGGCGGGGTCCTGCCGTGCCCGGGGCCCCGCGGCGGGGCGGGGGTCGCGGGGGGCGGCCCCGGCGGGCGGAGGGGGTGCGGGGGGGGTGCGGGGGGCGGCGCCGCGGCCGCGCCGCTATAAAGGCGGTGGTGACGGGGCGGGCGCGGCGGCGGCTCTCGGTGGCGTTCGCTCGGTGGCGTTCGCTCGGTGTCGGTCGGCGGCGGGGCAGGATGACGGCGAACGGGACGGCGGAGCCGGTGCAGATCCAATTCGGGCTGATCAACTGCAGCAACCGGTACCTGACGGCGGAGGCGTTCGGCTTCAAGGTGAACGCCTCGGCCGCCAGCATGAAGAAGAAGCAGATCTGGACGCTGGAGCAGGACGGGGAGGACTCCAGCGCCGTCCTGCTCAAAAGCCACCTGGGCCGGTACCTGGCGGCCGACAAGGACGGGCGGGTGAGCTGCGACAGCGAAGAGCCGGGCCCCGACTGCCGCTTCTTGGTGCTGGCCCACGGCGACGGGCGGTGGTCGCTGCAGTCCGAGCCCCACCGCCGCTTCTTCGGCGGCACCGAGGACCGCCTGTCCTGCTTCGCCCCCGCCGTCTCTGCCGCCGAGAAGTGGAGCGTCCACCTGGCCATGCACCCCCAGGCCAACCTCTACAGCCTGGCCCGCAAGCGCTACGCGCACCTGGGGCCCCGCCGCGACGAGCTGGCCGTGGACCGCGACGTGCCCTGGGGCGTGGATGCGCTCATCACCCTCCTGTTCGTGGAGCAGCGCTACAGCCTGCAGAGCTGCGACCACCGCCTGCTCCGCAGCGACGGCCGCCTGGTCCCCGCCGCCGAGCCCGGCACCGCCTTCACGCTGGAATTCCGCTGCGGAAAGGTGGCCTTTCGGGACGGGGAGGGTCGCTACCTGGCCCCCTCGGGGCCCAGCGGTACCCTCAAGGCGGGCAAGAGCGCCAAGGTGGGCAAGGACGAGCTGTTCGCCCTGGAGCAGAGCTGCCCGCAGGTCGTGCTGCGAGCCGGCAACGATAGGAACGTCTCCACCCGGCAAGGTACGAGGGGATGGCGGCTGCGGATGGGGGGAACGGGATGTCTCGGCTGCCCCGGAGTCCCAGGGTTGGAGCAGCCTCAGGGAGCGCTCCTGCATCCCTCGGGAATCGCCTGCCCCGAGCAGCCCCCCTGGCTCCCTCCGGCATCTGCATCCATCGGGCATCGCCTGCCCCGAGCAGCCCCCCTGGCTCCCTCCGGCATCTGCATCCATCGGGCATCGCCCGCCCCGAGCAGCCCCTTGCATCCCTCCGGCATCGCTTCCCCTCCATCACCTCAAAATCGCCGCCTCGGAGTGCCCCCCGCCCCCCGCAGCACTGCCCCCAGCCCCCAACATCCGCCGCCTTCCTCAGCAGCCACCCCACAGAGTGCCCCCCTGCATCCCTCTGCCATCGCCTCCGTGGTGGCGTCTTCCCCCTTCTCAAACCCCTTCTCGCACCCCTCCTCTGAAGCCACCATCTCCCCCGGGCACCCCCTGCACCCCTCAGCATGGCTGCCCGCGGTCCCCTCCCCCCCCAAACCCCATCACGATCCCCCCGCATCCCTCCCACATCCCTTCCCCTTCCCCCTCCCTCATCCCTTCAGCATCGCCTGCCTGGGGCCCCCCATCCCTCCGGCACCCCCATTCCCGCACCATCGCCTCTGCAGGGCGCCGGGGGGAGCAGGGGTGGCGGGGGGCCTGCCTTGGGGTGCAGGGATGGACAGGGAGGGGGGCTGGGAGGGTGTGGATGGAGTCTTCCCTCGCCGTGCGGGAGGCAGGGCTGCATCCCTCGCCTTCCTTCCTCTGGAGCTCATTGTTCGCCCAACAAAGCCTCCCCCAACCTCCCCCTGGCCCGAGCACGGCTGAGCCATTTGCCCGGCGGAGCGGGGAGGCTGCAGGTCCCGCCGGGGGCTCTGGTGCCCCCACGGACTTCCCACGGGTGGGGTGGGGGGTTGGCTAGCAGTTACATAAAGGGCTTTGCCAAAAATCCCACATCCTGCATCCCCCGCACAAAGGCCGCCGTCCCTCCGCACCCGCCCGCCGGAGGGACCGCGGTGCCACCCGCCTCGGGTGTCGCCACCTCGGGGCCCGCGGGTGCCCACCGAGCGTGCCAGCCCCGCCACCGGGGCTCCGTGCTGGAAGGCCGGGGGTCCCCGCTCTGGGGTGCCGGGGGTCCCCGCTCTGGGGTGGCGGGGGTCCCCGCTCTGGGGTCCCCGCTATGGGGTCCCGGCTCTGGGGTGCCGGGGGGTGCCGGGAGTCCCCGCTCTGGGGTGCCGGGGGGTCCCGGCTCTGGGGTACCCGCTCTGGGGTGCCGGGGGTCCCTGCTGTGCGCCGTGGGTGCCCCGGGGCTCATCGCCGGCGCGCCAGGTCAGGCCGGTGCACGCCGGGTGTGGGATGGGTGCGAGCATGCAGCAAAGCCTGCAGGAACAGCGGGGAATTTTTTTTTTTTTTTTTTTTTTTTTTTTTTTGGTGTGTATTTGTTGTATTTCAAGGTTGCTGCTTAACCCTGATCCGTGCCTGGGGAGCTCCATGCTTTTGCTCATGTGCGAGGGCAAATCCTGCAAAGTAACTCATTAAAAACTAATAATAAAATCTGCCGAGATGGGCAGCGGGGATTGTTTTCCCAGGCACGGGGATTTGGGGAGAGGAGGAGAGGATGGCGATGGCGGGAGGCTGCCGCAGCGCCGTGGGGGAAGGGCTGCTGCAGCCCTTTGTCACCAGAGATGGGAAAAGCAGATGTGGGGGAAGATGTGAGGGACGGAGCGGTGGTGGGGGGACCCCGCGGTGGCGGGAGACCCCATGGAGCGGGTGGGAATGCTGCTGGCCGACCCTCCGGCTTTGTCTGCTTGGGAAGGGATGGGGGAGCGGCAAGGGGGGGAACAAATCTCCCCAGCAACAGAGGGCTCAGGGCTGTGCCCGGCCCCTTTCCAAGCAAAATACAGCGGGAAGGGCCGCGCTGGGGCTGCACATCCTCGCTCGAGTCCGTTTTGGCTACAGAAGCCGTTTCCACCCGGTTTATCCTTCCCCATGGCAGTGAAAGGCTGGGAGCCGCCAATTTCTGGGGCTCATCCTCCTCCCGTGTCCCAAAGGTTACCGAGAAGGCGGCAGAAACAGCCTCGGAGGAAGCCGTTCCCAGACAGCCCTTTCCCCCGCCGAGCTGATAAGCCCCGTGCTGCTGGCAGATGCTCCCATGGCCACCGGGAATGGGGGATGTGGGATGTGGGATGCGGGCCGGCAGTGACGGTAGCTCGGCACAGCCTCGCGGGAAAAGGGAGCTTGTTCCTGCGTGGAGCCAAGGAGGGAACAGGGATGGCAGTGGCTGCACCCCCTCTGCCCCATGGGAGGAGCAGGGATGGGTCCACGGGGTTCTTCTGTGGTTCCCTGGGCTGGGATCCAGCTTTGGAACAGCGTTGTCCCACCAGTGAGTGCCAAGTCAGCTCCTGGCTTGGCGTATTCCCTGTCCCGGGGATGGCGGTGCCAGCATCCCCTGCACAGCCGGGCACAAACAGCCCTGGGCAGCAAGGGATGGGTGCCAGCCCTGCCTCTGCTCGGGGCAGGCGCTGGGGGTACCCCTGGCACCCCTCTCCTGCCTCCAGCCGCAGCAGGACAGGATCCCCGTGTTCCCTGAGATTCCCATCTCCCTTGTGCACCTCACAGCGAGCGGAGCCAGCAGCCAGCAGCCTCCTCCCCGCTCAATGGCTCCTTTCTAGCCTGCTGCAGCAACAAAGGGGCTTTGTGGGCGCTACAGTCCTCCCCGCTGGTCCCCTGCCAGCCCCCCACCCGTGGGGGAGAGGGGAGTGGGCTGGCTGGGGAGTGAGGAATTGCAGGAAACATCTGGGGAAGAGGGTGAGCGAGCCTGGACGTGCGGTGTTGGCAGTGGGGAGCTCTGCCCTGGGGCAGGAGCCCTCCCGGCTTGGGCTGAGCCGGATTTTCCCCCTCCAGTTCATCTCCGTGCCAGGGCAAGGCAGGAAGATGCGGCTCCAGGGCAGGGGGCAGCAGGCTTGGATGTAGATTTTCATCTGGAGATGCCAAGTGGCCTGTTGACACTTGGGGGATGCCACAAAGCCACAGGAAATCCACAGGGAAGGAGGGGTGGGTTTTTCAGGAAATTCACGTTTCACCCCTACCCGTGACCCCTTTGCAGAGCTGCATCCCCAGCAGAGGAGCTGCCGGTTCCAGTGCTCCAGGCTGTTGGATTTAGACAAAAACCAGTTTGGATTTCTGCAGGGGTGCAGTGTAAGCCCAGCTGAAGGGCAGGGAGGGGGCAGGAGCAGCCTCTGAGCGCTGTGTGGGTGCAGTGCTGGCTGCAGCATCCCAGTCCCACCCTGAAATCCTGAAATCCTGCCCCGAGGGCCTGGGGGCTCTGCAGGCTGCTGCCCCTGCACTGTGCAGGATCCAGGCGCTCTAGGCTGGTGTTTCCAGCTGAAACCCTGGGGGTTTTGAGAGGAGAGTTGGACAATGGGAAAGGTGCTCCTTCCTCCCCATGGAGCTCAGCTCCAACGAGCATCCCAGCACGGCTCCCGGGAGATATTCCGTGTGAGTCTGTGCGAGTTGAGTGCAGAGGGAAACTTTTCTACTGCCCTGAATGTCCCCACGCTGCGTCTGCAGCTCCCCGTGGTGTGGGGGTCAGCAGAGCTCCAACAAATTCTGCTCCTGTAGGGAGAGAAGAGAGAAGCCGTCTTTGTAGGAGGCACAGGGAGGTGTGGCCCCGCCCTGGGATCCCCCTGGTACATCCACAGTCCTGGCTGGAGAGCAGTGAGGGCTCCAGCATCAATCCTGCAAACCCACGAGCCTGAAAACTTTGGCAGCTGAGGGCTTGGGGTGCCCTTCCCTGCTCTCTGAGCACCCCAAGCCCAGGGGCTCAGCCTTAGGGAGCTTTGGGGTGACAAGTGACAAGGAGCCTCAGCCTTCCCAAGCTCTGCGTTCTGCCCAAGATCCCTGCTGCACACAGAGCCTCAGGACATCCCACACCAGGAATTTTGGGGTGTGCAGGAGTACCTGCACCCCCCTCCCAAAGAGCCGCCGTGTGCTCATCCCCCTCGTGCCTCCAGCTGTAATTAGCAGCTTCGTCAAGGTCAGGAGGAGCAGCTCCAGACTGTAAATTTACCGAGAGCGTTAATTAATCGGTGATTGCAGTGGGAGCGGCTCCGTGCCACAGCCCTGGGCTGCCACAGCAGGGGGGTGGCTGTGGGGACAGCCTGTCCTCCCCACGGGGACATCGGAGGGTCCCACCATGGCCCTGCAGCCCCCCAGGCAGCCCGTGCTCCCCGCAGCTCCCCAACCCCAGCCCTGGGCAGGCTCCTCCTGCCCCGCCGCATTCCTTTGTGCTGAGTCGCTGTAACCCAACCCCGCGCTGCTTTTGGGGAGGGGGCGCTGGGTGGGAGACCCCCCATGGGTGGGAGACCCCCCCTGCTGCCGGCTCCTTCCAGGCAGCGGGGAAAGCCAAAGCTCCAAAAGCTCCCAGAGCTCCCAAAGCTCCTGCAGTGTGGAAAATGGGCTGGCAGAGAGGAGGGGGAGGCCGGTGTGTGCCCTGTGCTCCATGCTGGGGGCTCTGGGGGCAGGGAGCAGCATCTGGAGGCTCCTGGCACTCCCAGTCCTGTCCCCAGCCCATCCAGTCCTGCTCTGTGGCACACAGCACCCCCTGGCACCCCCAGTCCTGCCCTGTGGCACACAGCACCCCCCTGGCATTCCCAGCCCTGTCCCGCAGGTCAGCGAGTTCTTCCCAGAAAAGTCAGCGAGGGAAGCACCGCTCCCACTGCTCCCCCACAAACCACAGGACCCACAGCTCTCACAAGTTTGGGGGTGCTGCTGGCCTCCAGGGGTGGGCTGTGTCCCCCAGGGTCACCTCCCCCCAGCCCAAGCTCTCTGTGAGCCCCTGCAGAGCCCCTCTCTCTGTTTTACAGCTCTGAATCGGGGCTGGAGCTGCCTGACTTCGGGATGCAAAATGAAAACCAAATGTTCCCACAGCCTCTGGCAGTGCCGGGAGGCGGCTCTGGGAGCCCAGGACGTGGCCAGTGGGGCTGGGCTGGTGGCCACCAGCACCCACTGCCCCCTGCCTTGCCCAAATACCCGGGAAGCACCAGGGTGGCTGCCTGTCCATCAGGAGAGCTGTGGAATCACAGAAGGGCTGGGCTGGGAGGGATCATGGCCAGGGACACCTTCCACTAGACTGGGCTGTTGCAAACCCCATCCACCCTGACTCTGAACCCTTCCAGGGATGGGAGCTGCAAAAGGTGCTGGAGGGTGCTCGGTGAGACAGGGGTGCTGTGAGCAGGTGGAAGCTCTAGGCCAGCTGGGATGGGGGAGATAAGATTATGGCCAAAAAAAGTGAAGCCTTCAAAGCCTGATCCCTTTGGGAACAAAGCCTGATCCTTTTGGGAAGGTGGGTGGTGGATATGCAAAGCAGGGGCTGCTCCTGGGCGCTGGGATGGGGCCTGGTTGGAGCCACGGGCAGGTGATGTGGAGCCCCGGGAGCTGTGTCTGCAGGACAGCTGGGTGCAGCTGCTGGGACCTCCTGGTGGCCTCCCAGAGCAGTGGGGCCACCAAGACCGCAGTCCCTGGAGCCCTTCCAGTGACTGTGCAGCGCTGGACGTCCCAGCAGCCGAGAAACTGGCTTGCATCATGGAGGTGTGAGGGGCTGGACACATGGCCAGCTCCCTCAGCTGCTCCTCATCAGACTTGTGCTCCTTCCCCAGCTCCATTTCCCTTCTCTGGACATGCTCCAGCACCTCCATGTCCTCTTCAGCAAGAGGACCAGAGCTAGACAGAATGTGGACTTGAAGCCTTTGCACCCCTTTGTGTGGCAGGGAGGGGTGCAGGTGTGTTTGTCTCTGGAGAATTCATCCATTTCACCAAGCTCAGTAGTGGGGCTGAGCTCTGCACCCCAGCTCCCTCCCAAAGCCCACTGGCTTTGGCTGCAGCTTGTGGCTGGCATCCCCAAAGCGTTTTTAGGCTGAAATCCACCAAGCTGGAGAGCTCTGGAGCAGTTTTGGCCCTGCTAGCCCTGACTAAGCGGGTTTGCTCAGGCTCAGAGGATGCACACGTGGCTGGCAGTGGCCTCAGGACCTGCTGCATCCAGCTCTGCATGGAAAAGCTGTCTCTGGCCCTTGGGCACAGGGATGGGCCATCCTGGCTGCAGAGCTGGGGGACAGGCTGGTGCTGAGGATTTTGGAGAGTCAGGGGAAGGTTTGGCTGCCTTAGGGCTTTCCTGAGCCTCCTGTCCCTGCACACCTCAGTGCCCCGGTGGGATGTGACAATTGGGGATGACAAACGTTGTCATGGTCCTTGAACACGCCACAAGCTGGGATTCATGGGTGCTGCAGTGGCCTCTGCCAATGGGCTGAGTAATCTGGCTGTCACCTTTGGGATAAACTGCAGCCCTTTTCCCTATAAAACATCTACGCTGGTCTTTGCTTCATTGTGATGGAGCTGCTGGGTCAGGAGTGGAAGCTCACGGCTGCCCACCCCTAATTTAAGACTTTAACACCAAATAACCAAATGAAAACCTGGATTTGAACCCCCAATGCCAGAGGGGAGGTCCGTGTGAGGGTTTTGGGAGCCACCAAAGCTCAGCCAGGCAGCAGGAGCCCCTCTCAGT